TGCCTCAGCCTCTTGAGTAGCTGGGACTACAGACACAACACAGTGCTGGGCTATAAAAAGCATTTCTGAGAGACATCAAAAATACCTAAATAAATGTCAATTTCCTAACTCAGAAGGCTCAATATTTTAAGATGTCAGTTTTCCCATAATCCCATTAAAAATTATAGCAGTCTATTTTGTAGAAATTAGCAAACTGGTTCTAAAATATATATGGAAATGCAAACGATCTGGAATACTTTAAAACATTTTTAAAATAGAAGAACAAATCTGAACTTTAAAGATCTGATTGCAAAACTTACTATTAAACATAAAGCTATAGTAATGAGAAAGTGTGGTATTGGTGAAAGGGTAGAAAACAGAGCAATGGAAGATGTCTTCATCTATTGTGTGTTGCTTTTATATAGGAATGCCTATCGCTGGGTAATTTATAAAGGAAAAAGGGTTATCAGGCTACAGTGCAGTGGCTTCATCATAGCTCACTGCAGCCTCAAAACTCCTGGGCTCAAGCAATCCTCTTGCCTCAGCCTCCCAGAGTGCTAGGATTACAGGCCTGAGCCACCAGGCCCAGCCAGATTTTCAACATCTTTAAGTGTTTATCTTACTCTAAAGAACTACCAATTATAAATCATGTTTAATGATTTATGGTTTGTGAGAGGAAGTGATACATAAAATTTCTTCCAGAGGAATTTAACCCATAATAAAATTTGGGCCAATTAATATTAGCTGTAGTTAAAGTAGCCATTTCAATTTCACTTGAATTTTTGATTTGTGAGAAAAACATTTTATGTTTTTATTTTTCTAAGGACTGAATCTTTGTACATATTGTAAGCATTTTTTCTTTTATCCAATTATTATCAATAGTGAGATGATTGACAACTTTCTCTTTTACATTCTATGTATTTAAACATCTTTGGGTTTATTCCTAATTTGCAATTATCTTTCAATAATATTTCATTTTATGAAAAATATGGCCCTTTGTCAGTGTTACACATAATAATGGCTAACCCTATCAAGAATATGAAAATAGGCCGGGCCCAGTGGCTTACGCCTGTAATCCTAGCACTCTGGGAGGC